TATTTGGGGTAATTGATTACTTAATTTGCATTCATTTATGATAAGGAGCTGTTTTTGTTTTACTCTTTTGTGCTACAAATCAATTGCACCCCCCTTCCTTTTTTCAGTGGTTTGCTGACTAAAAGCTCATGCTCCCTAATTTAGCTCTAGCTGAAATTACTGAAAGAGAGCCGCCTGTTAACCAGCTCCAGCTACAGGAAGAAAACCTTACAGGGTTTTTAGAGCTAAACCTGTGTGTTGAAGGCTGCCGCCTACCTTGGTCTCAGGATCAGTCAGGGCCTAACAACCTGGCAGGTGACGGTACTATGATGCAACATTAGTGGCTTAGTGATACAGCTTTTGGGTTTACCCTGGTTTTTCACTGTTTGCCTCCTAGCCTGATCTTTTACTTGAGATAAGCGATTAACAGCTAAGAAGTCTCAGTTCTCCAGAACATGGTGTCACCACAAATTGATGATATCACAGACCACCTCCTTGCGCAGATAGAAAGGTTTTTGATAAGTCTTTGTCTTCAGTAGCGCTTCAGTAAGAAATATAGATTCTTAGGAGTGACCTGCTTTTTTTCTTTTAGGCCTAAAACATTTAAATAATTTTGTATTTCTATGCCTTAAATTAATGACCCTAATGCCGGACACCGATCTGTACTTATTAACCTTATATTAAATTCTCATGTAGACTAAGCTTACATTTGAATTATAACTATTCTTGAATTGCTCTTAGACTGTTAAACACCATGAAGGCTGCAGATGAAAGAGTGAGGCTAAAGATTAATTGAATGGAATAACAATTGTAATCCGACTGCTTCTTCTATAATAATTAAAGAGATTTAATGTTGATAAGTGTGATAACTTACAGTCTTTATTTTTGCCAGGTTTCCTTCCTGGTTTCAGATAGTCCAAATTTATTGATGTCGTAGATGTTTTCAATTCAGAGCAAAGCTTAACGCCCTATGTTCATACATTGCCTTTAATGTTAAACTACTCCTTTCATGTGCACTTGGTCCCCTGCTTTGGGGCAATAGTTGTATTGTTTTCAAATGGTTCTCTGCCCAGAACCATGTGTTTAAGTTCTTAAT